GTGAAGTAACTCCCATCTAACAGTGACCAACACTCCAAATTCCACCCCCGTCTATTGCTTCCCAGCATTCTCCGCAGGAGGCCCAGACGCCTAGAAATTCTGTAAGAGCCACGCATGGTTAGTGCTCACTGGATCCCGTGTTGTGTCAGTACAACGCACGCTACTTTGTGTCAGATGGGTGATGTGGGAAGAGCGACAGAGCCGTTAGTTGGTTAACGTTCAGATAGATAGAGAAAGAGTTAACAAGGGCTGCAGAAAGGAAGAGGAATCCTGTTAGCGGGGCAGTGGTGGGTAGCCATTTGGAGGGAAGAAAGAATAGAAGGGAGTTGCGATCCATCCAAGCAACGGCTGTTACCTTCCATCCTTCGGCTGCTATGGCGGCCCCATTGGGCCACATGTCTGCGGCTGACGCAAGCTGGTCACAACGGAACTTAGGAATAAATGGAGAGCTCCTCTGAAATACCTGAGGAAGTCAGAACATGGAAGTTGGTTGTTTTGGGGAAAGGGGGCTGTACACAAATGGAAAACAAAACAGTGTGGACTACTAATTTTGGCTCAAGGAGGGAAAGTATAAGCAATTAAATGAAAAACAGAGTCTTCAAGAAAAACAATCCCAAATCGGACACTCTGATCACAAGATTTGGCCACACTCTTAGTTGGAGGAAAGGGCTGCAGTCAGATTGTCAAGGAGTGAAATCATAAGATAAGTTCTGAAATTATGGGTGCATGTGTGCACACTCACACTCACACACACACACACACACAATCATTGGTCATCTAGCTATGGAAATAACCAGTAACAAATATATAGAAATACAGTAATACATAACAACACTGCCTCTTTTGAGGCCCTGAAAGTTGCCAGAAACTCTTGAATCTTTGTTTCACAATCTGTAGCTGAAATCCTGTCATGACAATGCCCAAATTGCCTGATGGTCTTGGCCTAGCTATAATGACCATTTACCCAAAAGATATCATGCTGCTGTTTTATGAGACACAGCTAAGTTGATTACAGGGTTTCTTTTTGGCATCCTGAAATCTATCACCATTTTGGCTTCTACCCCTACAGTAGGCAAAACCCAAGAAGCATTGCTAAGAATGTAAAAGCTGCCTTTCTGAACCGGATCAAGTTCCTTTGATTGCAGCATGCTGGTCAGATGTCCCCAGGAAGTTCTCAGGAGGTAGGGGGGGGAGAATGAAAAAAAAATATGTTTCCACATTTGTCCCCAGCATCTGGTATTCAGAAGATATACTGCTTACTGACATTCAGTTTAGGCATCTTGACTAATAACCACTGATTGTAAATCATACAAGCTTCAGCTCAGCCTGTTAAATCTTTATTCTTACTCAAGTTGAACTTAAGTACATGGAGACGTCTTCATTCTACCCTTTCCCCATTTTCCTTCCCTCATCTGTTACTTTTCCTGTATCAAATTTTAGGTTTGACTCTGTAAATGCATCACACACCACAAATATGAGCAGGCAAACTGTAAGTTGCCAATTCCAGATCCTACACATTTAGTTCTATTTTTGTTTTCAGCCTATAGAAAAGCATAGGATGCTTTCAACTCCAGGTCAGCAAGTCCTTTGTGAGATACTGAAGTTGTTTCTATCACTGTTGTGCTGGAGAAATTTAGAAATATGAGTTAGGTCAATGTCGCTCTTAGGATCCCCACTAGGAGGCACCATTTTCTTGCAAACAGCTTCTAACCTCTTGTTTCTAGTGCCATTCCAAGATGGTTAGTATTATACTATGTTATCTGCATTTTATAATACTTGGATGAATTTCTGAAATGCATGGAAGTTGCACATTCTGGGAGATTTCAATTCCTCTGCTCTCCAAAGAATTTGTTAAGCCCTTGAAATTGCTTTGACAAAAGCTTTAATAACACAGCAGACAACCAACAACTTTTCTTTCCTAAAAAGCAAAAATGCTGAGAAGGGATCGTTTTGAGCAGAGATGTATGAAAGGAAAAAGGAGTTGCTAATTCCTAACACACATCACTTCTCATTTCTAAAGAAATTTATTTGTTACCTTAATATTCTGCCTCTTTACCTCTTGCAAGGAACCCAAGGTTGCATGGCCTTCCTCAGCTCTAATTTATCCTCACAACAACCATATGGGTAGGACAGGCTGAGAAGCAGTGACTGGCCCAAAGTGACCTAGGAAGCTGACAGTCAGCGACTGGCCCAGAAAGTTAGCCAGCAGGGAGTACAACCCAGATTTCCCAATTTCACTCCCAGCACCGCACCATACTGGGTCTCTCCTTTGCCTCCACATAGTTCAGAATGTGTATGTATAGCTCCACAGTAACTTTTGCTAGGACTACAATAAGTTTTTGGAACAAACGTAACCAAAAAAAAAAAATCTGATAATCAAAAAAATTAACTGACTCTCAGAAAAATAAGCAAAGTGGATATATCTGTGGATATATATTAAAATTCATCTATACACACTAAGGATAGATTAACCTATCAATTTTGGTTTTGTGCATTTTTATCTTTCCAAACTTAATGTTTGTTTTGTCCTGCTTTTGTTCATTTTTTTAAAAAAGCAAATGCTGCATGAAAATGTGTGCATTTTGTGAACATTTCTCCTAAACACCTAAAGGAAAACACCTTTTCCTAACATAATGTGTTTCTGTATGTTATTTCATCTATATATACATAACTTTTGTGCACACTTCTCCCATTTTTTATATATAATTTGGGTGGAGAACTATACAGCAACATGTGGAAAAGTGCAATTATTTTAACTTTATGTTGTGAGCCGCCCCGAGGCTTCGGCGAACAGGGCGGCATAGAAATGTTTTAATAAATAATAAATAAATAAATACATAATTACCGAAGTTTAACTGTGGTTTAGAAGGTGTGACTTAGGTAGGCTCAAATTAAAATGGGAACCAAACAAATTTCACCCATGCCCCCTAATCTATACTAATCAAAGATGATCTATATATTTTGGCCAAAAAGTCATAGCAAGAGTTTAAAATGTGAGTATTAGGGAAACTGCTGTAGACAGACATGATATGTGTGTGTGTGTGTGTGTGTGTGTGAGAGAGAGAGAGAGAGAGAGAGAGACAGACAGACAGACAGACAGACAGACACATTCTTGTTGCTTTCTTTAGTTTTATCTCTACTAATTTCATTGTTGATGGTGAGTGGGGGAAATGTAGTGCAATCCAGTCCCAGCTCAGAGGTAAGTCCTCACTAATTTTATTGGGACTTAACATCTGAGCAAGTTAAGTATAGGACTGCAACTTCAACCAAATTCAGTTGCCTTTGCACCTACCAATCTGGATGCCAAAGGTTTTTTGTGTGAAATGATAAATATTTCCAGAAGGTGCTTCATTTGTTATTTACAGTTGTAACCAAAGACTGTATGCACTTGCACTGACTCCTGTGTATCAACTGAACATGTCTAATGTTGAAACACTAAACAAAGTAATATAAATATTCCTCGGGCAGCATGGATTTAGGTAAGAAAATCAGACCAAATAATTTACAGCCATAATAAGAAAATAGGGCAAATAAAGGGAACTATTTTCATCTGACTATGTCAGCCTTCTCCAACCTTTCCAGAGGTTTCAGATTTTAATTACCTACCGGCTCCAGTAAGATTGGTCAAGAATGCTGGAAATTTTAGTCCAAAACATCTGGAAGCCATGCCGGATATTTGCAATCAGTGCATGGTTATCAAGTTCATAGCCTTTTGTGGGGGGAGGCAGGGTGAGGGAGAAGCAGACAAATTATTTATAATGTAATAAAGTAAAATACAGAATGCAGAATTGCCTCCTAATGTATTTTCAGTATTTTACAAATCAGGAGTCAAATTCAGGTAATGCAAAAGAGGACAGATGTGACAAGAAGCTTGACAAAATTTGAATAGTTCTTAATACTTCATATTACTGGTAAGAGTCTTCACAATGGAATTATGAGGGAGAATAAGCCTAAAAATTGCAAGTCTGAAGGCAAATGGAAAAGGGATTTAGAAGGGTCAGTTTCAAACTCACAGTGGGCTTACACTTGCAAAGTAAAGCCAAATTAACCTTTAGAAGTCACCTTTATAGAGAATGTTCTAAGTTGTCATATACCACCTAGTATTAGGAAAACATTAAAATACATCTGATAGTTGTTAAGCATACTTCATGCCCATGCAAATGTCATGTACATATGGAAGTCCTATAACGAAGTGTGCTTTTTATACTAGAGGAACATTATTAAAAAGATCAAATACGTAACAATTTACAATATGCCCCCAAGCATCTTAGCAATTCCCCTAGGTTATTTGAAACTGTATGTCTCCAATACATATATAGGAAATCTGTTGATATCAGCAACACAGATTCTTTTAGTAATGTATCCAAAAAGGAATTGTCACCTATAGTTGAGCTCCAGGTATGATAAGCCTTATTAATGAAAATGCTGACCTTTCATAAGCATTGGTGGGAAGGAACAAATCAGACATGACCTTCATTGCTTGATCAATGAAGATGGTTTATTGTATACTTGCATCATAATAGATCTAATGAAAATTTGTGACATATTGTCGATGGTGTTATCAATGAGGCTTAGTTTAGATTCTTGATAGTTGGATCTTTTTCTTTTGAAAAAATCCTTGCATATTGGTAAAGGTAAGCATGCTGGGGGAAATCACTTTGGAGGGACAATATGTGAAGCACAGAATAGCTTCTCTTTGTCCTGCTGCTTCTCCATTCTAAATCCACCCCCTTCCAGAAACTGTATTACTTTCTAATAAAAGTATGGGTGTGTGGCGGGGTTGAGACATACACATCCCCCCTAGTTGTTCAGCTTATTGCCTGGTTACAGATGGATAAGGAGGTCACCAAGTGCTAGAGAAACAACTCAACTTTTAAAAAATATGAAAGCAACAGCATCTGGATCATCTTTCAGTACCATATATGTTATGCAGTCACATTTCTGAAAGCCAGATGCTCACCACTACTCAGAAGGCCCTTCTTACACCTTTCCCCTCCTACCTCAAGTTCGGCTATGATCCTGTCTTCATCATCTTCATCTTTGATGGCAGAAGCAATGATGGGGGGTGTTGAGGCAGGCCTGGCCACCTCTGACACAGTTCTCCTTAGCTTCACCTGTGGTTTCTGGGTCTCTAACTCTTCCGATTCAGCTTTCTGGAATCACAAGCAGGGAAGCAAATAATGGGAAGAAGGGAGGGTTTGAGATGTAAATGGGAGGAAGTGAAAAAACCCATGGGACAAAGCTAGTCTAGTGAGTCTCTCCTGCATGACACTGGCCCACTCCTTTTCACAGGGATGGAGGGCTTCATACCTTCATAAAACTGGATTCTTTTTTGCTGGTAATGATCACCTCTCCTGTGCGGGTTGTTGTGAGACCGTGGGAAGATGGGAAACTCCGCCGTGGTGGGGGTGGGGGAGGAGACTTTGAAGGCTTCTCTGTCCGATATCTGGGCACTGTCAACTCATCTAGGGAGATGACAAAGTTAGTAAGCCATGTGTTGCATTCTGGTACACTCTGGCACAGGTAGTGATACCTATCATTAGTCTGCCTGCTGAGGCAGGGCTTTTAAAAATGTTCCATCAGACACAAAATGTACAATTCTAGAAAAAAAGTTCAGTTCTTAAAGGACATTTGCATCCTTCAAAAAGAAGTCATTAAGTTTCATTATGGTACCTGATGATAAACAAGACTTGTAACAATGCAGTCCTAGCTTTTCTGCTACCTTAGACCCTCATTCTCCTACACCTTCCAAAAACAGGGCAGGATATTTGCCCCTCTACTATGTCCTTTTGATTCCTCCTACTCACCACAGAGCATTTGCCCATATTTCAAAGATAAAGGGAATCATTTTAGAATAGGGCAGGGCAAAATGCATCACCTGGCATTCTTCACAGTTCCACTACCCCCTTGCTGAATTTCAGTGGCAAGTGCAGTGGGGGCAGTGGCCAGCTCCTGCTGAGGTCTGCAGTGGCAGTATGGTCCCTCCAATCTTGGAAGTTGCCCAGCCCTGTTCTAGAACATGGAGACTCCCTTCCTGAGAAATCACATCAAGTAGTTAATGTTATGATAATGGCAGTGCTGATGCCAGAAAATAAGCAGCAAGCTAAATCATCAAAGGGTAAAACATTCTTAAATATTCTTAAAGGTACTATTATTTTATATTCTTTTTATAGTGTATGGAATGTATAGTAAAAAGGGTATTGTTTCTTTAAGGGTTAACTACTTCCTGTTCCAGATGCTACCTGCCTCCATTATCTCAGGTGTTAGATAGGGGCCATTCCCTGCTCAGTCACTGCTCAGCAACGGAGCGCCACCTTTTACCTCACCACTAGATCTGTATTTCACATCAAAGTGGAACAAATCTCCAGTATGACACCCTGCACGGTTTAGGTGTTCAAGCAAGGCCAGAGGGCCAGTCTTCTAGTATACATACCAGGTCTGGCCAGTCCAGAGGCCTGCCAATAAACGGAAGGTGCCCATCCTGTCCCCTCCTGTGTCTGAAGAAGGCTTTGTGGCCGATGTACAAACAGACCCAGAACCAGAGTTGACTGAGCTAGACTTAAGCTCAATCTTGAAGGTTTCGCATTTAAACCCATTCTCTAACACAACCAATGCAAATGTTTGCATATGCATGGCACCATCTCACAAATAATGCACAAAGATCATATACTGAGAAGAGAAAATGGATGAGATGGGTTTACTTTATGCACATCAGCTTTCCCCAACCACCTGGCACCCTTCAGATGTTTGTATTACAGGTCCCATCAGCCCTGACTACCAGAGATTTGGTCAAGGCTGATGGGAGTTATAGTCTGAACAGCTGGAGGACACCAGGTTGGGAAAGGCTGATGCACATAGCAAGCTCCTGCAACTGCCAAGTTCTGTCAGGGCCAGATGCCACATTACGTGAAATATGTGATAACCTGTAACATGACTTTATTTGAAATATTATTTATTTATTTAAAACATTTCTGTGCCACCTAGTTATGCCACAGCACCTCTGGGCAGCTCACAATTACAAGATAAAAGAGCAGGTTTCTTGAAGACTGTGATGGGCCATGGGGGCAATGATTAAATCACTAAACCAACTCTAAATCCCCTTCACATGCATGCCAGTTTAAAGGCAATGTGCCCATCGTCTGTCCATCAGTTTTGTAAAGCTACAACCTGTCCTGAATCCCCCAGGACAGGAAGGACTTTCAATCTAAATACAATTCATCTTTCACCTCAGTCATTCATTTGCTTGCCATGTCCCACATAGGCTGTCTCTCCGCTTCTGTGCCTGTCTTACCTGACCCCCGGCGACCATTGGGGTCCATTTTGCTTGTGGTTTTCTGTGCATGCTGGGGTTTGGCAGGCTTGTGCTCTGGGGTAGAGGCTGCACTCCCACTGCCACCACTGCTGGAGGTCTGCTTGTGCTTGGCAGCAAACTCCAAGTCAGGAATGGCTTTCATCAGCTCAGCTTGGGTCTCTTCCAGGAGGCGGTTAATATCTTTAGCGCTGTACTGAGTCAAGGCTGCCCGCTTCTCCTCCCAATCACGTTCTGCAGCCTGTAAAGCAAAGTAGTCAATACAGCAGAGCTGGATTAATGGTTATGCTGATTTGCTCTGGAGCAGGCCTCCACAGCCAAATAATTCAATTCTAAAAAACGAGCTGATGGGGCTTGTTGAGGAAAGCAAAATAAGGAGGCGGTCACTGAGTGAGGAGCACTTTCTCTTTCAGGAAGTGTAGAAGGAAAACCTTGGATCTCACCATGTCTGTTGCTCAGCAGTTCTGAAAAGACCCACCCCAAGCCAAGCTGTGGTGCAATTCCTATTCACTGAGGTTGTTATTTTTTTCTTTTCTCAGCTCAGTCTATATTATATTGCACTTGTGGTAATGAAGCTTCTAACACTGACTGACTGACCCAGGAGGGTCAGTCAATAACTTTCCTATTTCTCAGGGGGAAATGCTACCAGAATGTTTGCAGTTCAGCTTTTGTTAGGGAAAGGGAAATTATTATAGGAACACCAGGAGCTGCTTTATGCAGAATCAGACCACTGATCCATGTAGCCTGGTTGTGTGAATGGCAGTGGCTCTTCATGGCTCTTTCCTCTCCTACCTTGAGGTGCCAAAAATCAAGTCTTTAACCTTCTGGATGCAAAGCTAGTGCTCTGCCACTTAGTGACAACCCCTTCCTTCTCAGCCCTCCAGTTTGGCTGGAGGAAACCTTGCATTGGTCCTTGGGATAAGAGGGCTTTGTGGGGTACTCTGAGAACTGGTAAGGGGCCTAAGGAGGTAGGTAAGTTAAGTGCCTAGCTTGCATTTGAAAAGCTGCTAGTCCATATGTGGTACTTAAGAGTGGGGAAGTTGCAGGTGGGGAAAGAGTTACGTGCATCTCTTACCACAACTTTTACATGCCAAGTCAAGCCACTTCCAAAGTGGCTGAAGGGAGAAAACAGAGAGAGGGCTACTGCTGCAAATGATAGTGCATAGTGTAATTTGGCTCTAAAAGGCAGAGAACCCAAAGGCAAAAAATAGCAAAAGGAAGGCAAAAGATTCAGGAGCCTCGGGCAAGGATAAATGGGGAGAAGGATGGATGGGAAAGAGGCTGCAGGAAGCACAATGTGAGTCCAGATGGAGGGCCCATATTACTACCACTCAAAATGAGGTAACATGCAGCTACTCTGATGTTCTCTTTTTATTGATGGCTTTGGTGTAGGAAAAAGATGGAGGAAGAGATGGGAAAGCACAGGAAGGTTCCAAGTAGAACACAACAACATCTGAACCCTTCACAAAATTTCAGTTTCTGAGGAAGGGTAATTGGGCAGTGAAAGCCTCATCTGGAAGCATTCATGAACTGAGGAGAGGAAGTGATAATGAGTAAGGGAGGCAAGGGAGACTGGAAGGGGGATCCGCTAGTCTTACCAGGGAACAGAAGCTAGATTCTTTTGTGGGGTAATCTTTTGAGGAATGCATGCTGGAAGTGGACAAGATCAGGGATGGCTTCTCTGAGAAACATGAACCTCTTGTGCTTGGAGGACATTTGGTACCACAAAGACTTGGGAGCTGAAAGGCTGATTTGGGCTTTGTGGCTTTCACTTTTAAAGCAGGTTGTGATTTATGCTTTTTTTTTGTTTGTTTTTAAAGCCAGGGTAATTCACAAAAAATTCCAGTTGCAATGTGCAGTTTGCATATATTCCAGCCACAATTGTACAAATTACAGCAGGAATTTATGCAAATTGCAGCTGCAATTTACACAACTTTTCCTGGCTTAAAACACATACACATTTCAGCCCACTTTATCAGACTGCAGGCTGGCTCTCCTCACATCAGAGTAAGCTGGTGCTAGTGCTTGTTTGACAGGCTCATGTTCAGGGGATCCAAGCTGGGACAATTGGTCAATTTTGATCCCTCAAAAGGATTCCTCACATATCTCTAGGCATGGCTAAAGCTATGAAGTATGCAGGGTCAAGCAAGAAGTGGGATGGGCTTTTCTGAGACCTCTCTACTCTCTCTGGGTAGACTCTCATGGCATGAGTAGCCATGAAGAAATCTTACCATTGTTGGTCTATTGTGCTATCCGGATAAAGTTCCAGAATTTCTGTGTGGTAGGCTTAGTCTTCTGAAACCATGGAGAGAATCAACAGACTGTTCTAAGGTTTCTATGCTTCACTGCAGGTTCTCCAATTATGTAGATCAGGGATTACCATTTTACCATTGTCAATAGGGAAACAGCATAGAGTCCTCTGGCAAGGGAAGCCACAGAGGTGGCTGCTTCTAGCCTTCGGTCTCTACTACTACTCAGGATACCATCAACGGGTGCCCCATTTCTTGCTTTATTCCCATTGGCTGAACAATGTGTCTGTTTCCTTGTTTACTTTTGGAATCAGGGAGGAAGTTGAAAATACATGGAGGGAGAAAAGTTGGAAATGCAGCAGAATTGTTATGTTTTAATTATTTTTTTAAAAAATACTCTGTGGGGGCTGGAATTGCTGCAGACATGCAAGTATACCAGAAGGGGGAAAGGGGAACCAGCCTCAAGACCACAGCAAGCCAATCAGGAGGAGGCTGCTGCTGTCCATAGCCAAGAATGGGATGCATGGTGAGTTTGGGAGGACAGAATGGGCAGCACAGAAACCAGACTGCACTCTGAATCACATAATTGCCACTGGTCAGTTCAGTGAAAAATTGGCGTGCCCCAGAAACTGTGTGGCACGGTTTTCCACAATGTGTGAGCTCAGCTTCTGTGTCACTTTCCCTCTCTTCCTTCCTACCCAGTGAGCTGTGAGGGAGGGATCTCCCTCTCTAACCTGAGCTTTTTGTCTGCATAGGCCTTTATATGTAGCTTCTGCCTCCAGCACCCTATCCCCCTCCCTCCCATGTGATAAGTATGAAGTGTTCTCACCTCTACAGACACTGATCTGTCCATGACCCGCTTGCTGGGGGTGTCAGAGCCTGTCTGGGACTTGGTAGCAACCATCTCTGAACTGCGGGAGGGGTTGCTACTCTTGGACATGTGGCTCTGCCCTTGACTTTGCCCATAACTGGTTGTGCCCAGGCTATCTGTGGAAGCAGTCAGATCATGAAGGTTCATCGGTGGACTGGTGGGGACTTCAAAATCCAAGGCCCTGTTGAAGTCACTTTCTGGTTCCACCTTCTTTGGAGACTGGCTGAGAAGGTTACTGGATGAGTCCCAGACCCCTTCATCTACTTGCCTAGCAAGAAAAGAGAAAAGGGGAGGTCAGTGGCAAGTGGAAGAAGCCAGAACCCTGGCAGAAGGTTTACAGATGGCTGCTGCACTTGTTTGCCATAAAGGGCCCATTTTTAAAACTGCACATGCATGTGTATGGATAGCAGTATTACTAAAATGATGTCTGGGAGTCTGGTGTCAGTGAAGGCAAAATAAGCTGCAGCCATCAGGAAGAAGCAAACGTGGATGCAATGGCAATAGGGGCAATGGTGGTAGCCTTGGGGGAGGGGCTCCGAGGATCAGGAGGCAGGACTTACAATAAAAGCCCCAATTACATGCCCAGACAAGGTCTGAAGGCACCTGCTGTAGTTTCCATATGAGTCTGGTCCTGGCCAAAACCTGGGAGAGAAGCAGTTTCAGAGCCCCATGGATACTGCTTTCGGTAGAGAAGGGTGAGAATTTTTAATTCAGTTTTTATCAGATTTTTCTAAAATTCACAACATTCTCCATATCTGGAACAAAAGCTTGAGATATAAAAAATACAGAATATGGAAGAAACAAACTGAGAACTTTGCCCATCCAGAAATAGGGTTTTTAATGATTTGCTCCTACATTTGAATCCCTGTGTATTCAGTCCTACTAAGGTTGAATTAAGATTGCCATCCTTTTACTGACAAGTCCCTCTGCTAAATGACAGGGAGGCCAAAAAAAAAGCCCCTCTTCACACTGGGAACAGTTGTATCAACTGAATTTGGTTGATGCAGGTAGTAAAAACTGAGTTCTGTTTTCCTAAGAATGGACCAAAAATTTAAAAAGTTCACCACATTCAGGACAAAGGAAATTTGACATTTACAAAAACAAATAAATGTGGGAGAAAGTGAAATTGACAGCTTCTCCCATCCCTGATCCTGAGCGCCTTGGAGGAAGCCAGGATACAAGTACAGCTAACAACCTGTTTCCAGATACAGCCACAGGGGCATCCTAAGAGGAAATCATGAGCATCTTTGTGGGAAAAGACTAATGTTCCAGCCTATCAGGTCCCAAGAAAAACAGCAGGGCTTCCTCACACTCCAGGGGCTCACTCACTTGCGGACTTGCGTCAGGGTGTCGGTCACTGCCTTGCACCGCTTGAATAGGCCATCCAGCCGGTGTGGCTCTTCCTTGAGGAACTTCACAGCCTCCACCTCTACACGGAGGACCACACGCATTTTGCTCTGCAGGCTGGGAAAATTAGCTGCAATGCCAGGGATGGGCAGAGAGGGAAGGGAGAGGCATGGGGGTCAGAGCAGGCTGAAGGAAGGCTTTCACCTGGGGAAAAAGGGAGGCATGGAGCCAAGAAAGGAGGCAGGCAGGTGGGATGGCGAGGCTCAGGTGAGTGAGAAGTCAGGCCTCCCCTGGACATTTCTGTTACTCAGTCTCAGAGGAAAACAGTATTCCCTCACTGTACAAACACCCAACATAATATCTCCCACCTCCCCAAGAGCAGAGCCAGTGATAAGCAAGGTAAGCAATTGTGTGTTCTGAATTAATGAATGTGGGAAAGGCCTACAAAGCCACAGCTCTCCTGGTGGCATACATCTGTGAGTATTTCTTTACTGTTTTAATGAGGACTAGCAACATAACCAAACTTAAATAAAACTGAAATGATGTTGATCTTTTTTACAAATTAAGAATAATATGGTAAGGATTTGAGGAGTAGGTGAGGAAAGGAGACACTAAGGGCTAATCCCTATTGACAGTTAGAGGAAACTCATAAAACTTGCTACAGCACACAGGAGACACCAATCCTCAAACACAACTGTCAGATTCAGACCTGGAAAGCCCTTGGTAGGACCTCAGCCATCCTTTACTGCTTTAAGTTTACTTTACCCCTCTGCTTCCCTTTGTGGTAAGTAGTCAGAATCCTGGTGAATATCAACATATGCCAGTAAAATCTTAGAAAGAAATTCTTGTGTCATGGAACTGCTTGTGTCATGGAACCCCAGAATATGAATAAATGTTCTTTTTCTGGAAATGGTAGAAATAAGACTGACCTTTGAATATTCACTGAAGGTATGCAGTTGGCTTTGACATTTCTTGGTAAATGTCAGCATTTTCTGAAACTTCCCTCTTAGTTGTACCATGGTCTTATGACTTCTTGGTAAATGCTAACATCCACCAAGCTTTTGACATTTACCGTAATGTAATATACAGTATCTTTCTCTGCAGGATTACTGGGATGGGCTTATCTTTTTCAAAGCGACACTGAAACTCAGTCGTATTAGGTTTTTGGATTGCATTGCCTCCAGGTAGTAGGTAAGTAAAGTACAGTTTGTCATCACTGTGCGTATAGACAGCCATGCATCCTTAAAATACTCATGCTTCACTGTGATGTGGAAAAATGTATTTAAAAGAAAAAGAAAAAAGAACTAAATGCTATTCTGGGTGTGCTTAACCATGGGCCTAGCTTCTGAATAAACCATGGGGCTTGCTCCTAGATAACTGGGCACAGGACTGCTACCACAATGCATGCATGTTGGGAGGAAAGCTTGGAGAATGGAGTGAGCACAGGACAATGGCAACACAAAACATTTGTCCAGATGAGCATAAAAGACCAGCCCTTGATTGAGGAAGCACCAACTTTCATGTATAATGTCACTACCAAAGTATCTGCATGTCTTGTGCCACAACATGAGGCATTTCAGCTGAGGGTCAAGAAGAAGATGGAAGAATAATTGTTCCAAGTGCCTCCTGCTGCAGCTTTGGAGAAACTGATGATGCTTTGAAGAGAGGCCATGTCCTGGCTTGAATGTAATATGCCCAGCTTCCTGAACCATAATAGAGAAAACCAGGAATGAGAACTGGGCTAGCTTACTCCCCATCTTGCTAGAGACACCTGAGAAAACTGACTTGTATTTAGTGTTCACACTTTCCAACCCTAAATGTGAGCCAGAATGGATTTTGCTGACAAAATTCATACATTTTCAAAGTGTACAATGCAGTTAAATCTGTACAAATGTGTACATTTTAAAAATGTGCACAAAATGCATAAGTTTGCACAATGTGCATAAACACTATTCAATAGGGAAAATACTCACATTTTCAGAAGTGCACGCGGAAATGCACTTTTCAGATTCTGTGTTAAAAAATGCAGATTAAAAACACACACAAAAATGCATACATATTTCCATGCAGGCTAAAAAAAGACCAAGACAGAATCAGGATAGAATGAATTTAGCATTGGGGAAAAAATGAGAACTTAAGTGAACACCCCTCACTCCTCATCTCTCTGCTTCCCTGTGCAGGCTGATTCTGGTTAGCCCAAATTTAGTTCCCCTTCATCTGAAATGGTTTAATGTCAATTTATTAATCACATGTTGAACACAGTTTAAAATTCTGATTAGTAAACTAACATGAAACTAGATCTTCCCATTTCAGTTGTAAGACTACAATTTAAGTTAACCAGGCTTGATGTACTGCAGCCCACACACAAACAGAGAAGCTTCAGGGGAGAGTAGGTGACTTTGATGCTAATTCCTAGCCTCCTAGGTGATGGTTTCAGAAGCCCAACATACCATCCAAAAGGATCCAGTGTTTTTCAGCTTAATGCTTACTCCACCTGGTTAACATATATGTTTGTAAATAAATATATCACAAATACCATCCATCTCACCCACAAGGAAACTGAACCTCTAGGTAGTCCTCTGGAATTTCTTACAGGGATGTAAAACAAATGCATCTCTACTGAGAGGGGATTTAAAGGGAGATCCCTAGCCCAATGACAAGAGGCTGTAAGGAGAAGGAGAGATTTCTATATAGTGTGTGTGCATAGGCAGGGAGAAGCAGAGGAAAAGGGAGGGCCAAGAGCCAATCTTCATACAGAAGGAGGCAAAGGAGAAAGCATGAACCGTCATGTTAGGTCATCTTGGAGTCCCCAGAATGTGTTCTGATAGGAAGCAGTAATGCAGACAAGGACACTGGCAAGCAAGCAGCAGGCAAGGGAAACACACACACACAAACACACACACAGGTTTCTGTATATGTATGATTGCCTGTGAACATAAATGGTACGGGAGCTAGCATTGCCGCCTGTGGTACAATCACACAGGTTTGTGTAACATCTTGTGAGGTTAAACAGTAAGCTCTTTGGACAAAAAAGACTAGCAGAATGAAGAATGGGGAGAAGGGGCCCCAAACACAGCAGGGCTGGATTGTCTATTAAAGAGGGGGTTCCTCTTAAAACCCGTAAATCTAGGCAGGGTTAACATTATCTAACTGCACCACTGGTATAATAATTTAAGCATAGTAGCTCTGGGCATCTCTGACTTTTGAAGACTGGCAACAAATTGCATGGGATTTGTATGCTTCCCAGTGCATCTGGCTGGCCCCCATTGGAGTGCGGGACACCAGCAGACCTTTGGTCTGAGCCAGCATCATGATTCATGTATGGTTATGACTAATATTTTGGAAAGCTCAAATTTCCTGGGACTTTTACATACAGGCTGTTCATAATCTGTATGACAAATAATGCAAAATCTGCACAGCAAAATGTCCCTTCAAAAATCAGGCATTAAGAGAAATCCATGCTTGATCATACAAAATATTCTGTTTTCTCAAAAATGTTGCCT